AGAATCACCTAAGCCCAGGAGTTGGAGGTTGCTATGAGCTGTGATGCCACAGCACTCTACCGAGGGTGATAAAGTAAGACTCTGTCTCTTAAAAAATTTTTTTTAAAAAATTATTTTTCAAATTATCATTCCTTCTTAATAGTCCTCATTTTAATTTTGTTTTTTTTTTTTGAGACCTTACTATGTGATCCCTCAGTAGAATGCCGTGGTGTCACAGCTCACAACAACCTCAAACTCTTAGGCTTAAGCCAGTGGTTCTCAACCTTCCTAATGCCACAACCCTTTAATACAATTCCTGTGGGTCGTGACCCACTGGTTGAGAACTGCTGGCTTAAGCAATTCTCTTGCCTCAGCCTCCCAAGTAGCTGGGACTACAGATGCCTGCCACAATACCCTGAGATTTTTTGTTGCATTTGTCATTGTTGTTTAGCTGGCCGGGGCTGGGTTCGAACTTGCCAGCCTCAGTGTAGGTGGCTGGTGCCATAACCACTGTGCTGTGGGCACCAAGCCTTCATTCAAATTTTTAATTTTGGGAAATGGAAATGGAAGAAATGAAGAAATTTATTTTCACTGTACAAAAGTCCAAGTGTTACACCAAGGCTGGTGAGTTGGAACCCGGCCCCAGGCCAGCTAAACAACAATGACAAATGCAACAACAAAAATACAGCCAGGCATTGTAGCGGGCAACTGTAGTCTCAGCTACTTGGGAGGCTGAGGCAAGAGAATCGCTTAACCCCAAGAATTTGAGGTTGCTGTTAGCTGTGTCTCCATGGCACTCTACCCAGGGCAACAGCTTGAGACTCTGTCTCAAAAAAAAAGTCCAAGTATGGCCTTATATATTTTCTTGTCTTCAGATTGTTTTTTAGAGACTTATATAGTTTTTTTCTTTAAAAAAGAAAAACTGTCTTCATTCAGTATATAATCTGATGGCTTTAGCCAACTTGAGCTCATGGGAAAAATGATTTTTCTCACAACCAATACTGTCCAGGAGCGGGAAAAGCTGCTCATCATGTCACTAGAAATACTTCAGTCAGCTACATACTCTCTAAAAGGAAAATGTAAAAGGAATGGATTTATAGGAGAATCGACTAGGTTACCTAATTCTAAGGAGGTGTGGACAAACAGGCCTACCAGTATGTGGTCTCAGCTATTCTTCTGAGCACCATTCTTGAAGCATTGATTTTTCTGTGACCTGGTGTTCTCTCAAATGATCACGATCATATGATGTTAACTTTTTTTATTATTAAAGAGAAAAGCTTTTACCAGGGTTTTGTTTTGTTTTTGTTTTTTTGAGACACAGTCTCACTCTGTTGCTGTAGGTATCATGGCATCATCATAGCTCACAGCAACCTAAAACTTCTAGGCTTAAGCAATCCTCTTGCCTCAGCCTCTGGAGCAGCTGGGACTACAGTCACGTGTTGTGTCACCATGCCCGGCTAGTTTTTCTATTTTTAGTAGAAACAGGGTCTCTCTTTGCTCTGGCTGGTCTTGAACTCATGAGCTCAAAGAATCCACTCACCTCAGCCTCCCAGAGTGCTAGGAACTGGTATTTTTTTAGTACAAAAATGCGACACTTGGGTTCAGCACCTGTAACTTAGTGGTTAGGGCTCCAGCCACATAACCGGGGCTGGTGGGTTCGAACCCTGACCCAAGCCTGCTAAACAGCAGTGACAACTACAACAAAAAAACAGCCATGCGTTGTGGCGGGCACCTGTATTCCCAGCTACTTGGGAGGCTGAGGTAAGAGAATTGCTTAAGCCCAAGAGTTTGAGGTTGCTGTGAGCTGTGATGCCATAGTGCTCTACCCAGGGCAACATAATAAGACTCGGTCTTGAAAAAAAAGAAAATGCTACCCTTGGAGGATCATATTGATAATAAAGAACTATTCTAATGTTATAAACAAATCTAATTTGGTAGTTTTTTCCACAAGTGAGGAAGTTATTTTTATCAACCCACTAGTATTAGAAATGCCATAGATAAGAGGCTAAACTTTTGTAAAACATTCTATTAATCATCATTTCTGTGTGAGAGAAGAATCACTGCTTATTACCAGCTAAGGCACAAACACTACTTGGTATTTGGAGAGGAGTTTCATGAGCTAGTGTCTTTTCACCGTTAAACACATATTTATACTTTACCCAGTGTGATTTTTATGGGTAAATGAAAAACAGAGTTGTAGAAGGCTTCAGAAATATCTGAAGTCTCTTTCCTTTTTAAGTATATGGTGTCCTTACTCCAGTCCACCACACATTCTTGGCAAACATGTCATAGTTCAAGGTGGCACTACATAAATATCCTCTGTGTCCCCTAGCAGTAGGACACAGAGGATTTTAGGTAGATTCTATATTCCTCTTGTCAGAGAATCAAGGGCATTCATAGGATCAAAGTAGGGGTTTATAGGAGCCCCTGTTGCACACTTGGAGGTGGGTGTGTCTTCCTTCACCTCCCCCATCACCAGGGGCCCAACTTGAGGTGTCACCCGTGTTCCTCTTGTGCCCTCACCTCCAACCCAGTGTGTAACTTGGAGGAGGTCTTTAGGCCTCTGTGTGGCAGTGACCTCTCATCTCCACACCTTAGCTTCCTTACACAAAGCCATACCAAGGCTCAGGGACAGGTGAGCTTGCCATGGCTCCCACCATGAAGATACTAATGAATGCCCACACTAGGCAGAGCTGCTCCAGAGGCACCCTTTCTCTGATGCCG